AAGTTTTTGGTTATTATCTCTTCAAAAATTTTCTCAGGTTCTTTCTGTCTCTGTTCTCTTTCTGGGACCCCTAAATGCAAATATTGGTGTGCTTCATGTCCCAGAGTTTTCTTAAACTATCCTCATTTCTTTTTGTTTTTCTGTTCTGCAGTAGTGATTTCCACTAATCTGTCTTCTAGGTCACTGATCCGTTTTCTGCCTCATTTAGTCTATTCTTGGTTCCTTCTAGTGTATTACTCATTTCAGTAATTTTATTCTTCAGCTCTGTTTGGGCATTCTTTGTATCTTCCAACTCTTAGCTAAAAACTTTGCTCCTGTGCATCTGTACTTCTCTTGCATTCTCTGAACATCTTTGCTATCATTTCTCTAAATTTTTCTCAGGTAAATTGCCTATCTCCTCATCGCCTATTTCTTCTTCTGGGATTTCATCTTGTACCTTGGCCTGGAAGATATTCCTCTGCCACCTCATACTGTCTATCTTTCTATTTGTATTTTTAGGTAGGTTAGTTACATCTCACAACCTTGGAGAAGTGGCCCTCTGTGGGAGACGTCCTGTGTGTCCCAGCAGTACACTCCCCTCTTGCCACCCAAGGGCCAGGGTCCAGCCAGTGCCAGGGTAGAGCCTGGCCTGTGTGCGTAGATTCCTTCCACAGGGTTTGGGATTGTTGTTTTCTTACTTCTTGTGTGTGCCCCCTAGTGGGTGAGGCTGGGCTAGAGGCTTATGCAGGTTTCCTGGCAAGAGGAATACCTGGCCACTGCTGGGTGAAGCTTGGTCCTGGACCTCTGGTGGGTAGGGCTGTGTCTAGAGGCATCTGGCCCAGGAAGTCTGCTGATGGGTGGGGCTACGTTCCTACCCAGTATGTTGTTTGGCCTGAGGCTTCCCAGCCCTTAAGCCTACAGGCTGTTGGGTGGGGCTCAGTCTTGTTGCTAATGGTCCAATCAAAGTGTCAGCCTCCACAAAAGCTAATGTAGGTGAACACTCCCAGAATATCTACCACCAGCTTTATGTCCCCTGAGTGAGCCACGGCCATCCCCTACCTCCCCATGAGACCTTCCAAAACCAGCAGGCAGGTCTGGCCCAGGTTCCTATGAAATCACCGCCTCTGCCCTTGGACCTGGTGCACATGAGTTTCCATGTACGCTTCTCAAGCAAATGGAGTCTCCATGTCCCCCAGTCCTGTGAGGCTCCCAGAGCCAAG